CAAAACTCAACTTGCAGCTACTACATGCATGAGTCACTATGCAGTGTGTACTGGATGGGAGATAGCATTTTGTGTGCTATGATGATGCTTAAGGAAGGAATGTAAATTAAGTTACAAAAAAAGAGAAAAGTTTCAGGAAAAAAAAATCCATTTGATGACCGCAGTTAAGATAAATAGCCCCAGCTAGGTGATACTTTATAGGATGCCTAAAGTTAGACTTGTGTTCATGGAAATGTATATATCAGCTGTGTTTGCTATGAAAACATTTAGATTAATTAAGATCTTTAATAATTCGATAAAAAATGGGGGGAAAACAGTATAGAAAGTAAACGTAGATATCAGAGACAATGTGGGAAGAGAGTGGGAGATGGCAGAGGGTAAGAGATAGGGAATCAAGGGTGGGGGAAAAATCAAAACATACAGGAAGCAAGAAATGGAAAATTATTTGTTGACAATAACATGTATGTTGATGTGCTTGATTGAGACAATATACAGTGTACTCTGGATGGAAAATCTTATTTTGTATGCTGTAATGATGTACAGTGAATGAATGTAAACAAATAAATTTAAATAAATAAAAAAAAAGAAATGCCTATGTGAAGTCTATGCCATTCCATAATGAAGTTTTCATGGTTTGTAGCAAAATGACCAAAATGAAAATATGGAAAAGTTTTCATATAGCTTCTTTAGAATATTTCCTTCCTAATTTTTTGGCATTTAATTGAACCTTTAATGAAATACCTCTTGGTTTCCTCTTTTGTGAAACTCTGAAAACCAATGCAAAAGGATGGAAGCCAGTGAGGTATGTGTGCTTTGTTTACCAGTTATACCTTTACATTCATTTGAGTTCATTCAAATTCAAACCAACTAGTTACATACAGTGCTGAACCAAAGAAAACTGGTGCTTAATGCAGTGCCTCAAATACAGTAGGCATTTAACAAATATGGCTGAGTAAACAGCAGCATCATAGTTTATAGGATAAGAGTGCAGTAAGAATAGAGAAAGTGGGCATCCTTGCCTTATACCCGTTTTTAGCGAGGAAAAAAGTGATATTAGCTATGGTTTTTCATAGATAGCTTTTATTGTGTTGAGGAATGACACTTCTATGCCAATTTTGCTGAAAGTCTTGATCATGAAGGGATGTTGTATTTTATCAAATGCTTTTTCTGCATCAATTGATATAATCGTATGGTTTTTATTTTTCATTCTGTTAATATAGTTTATTTACATTTATAGTTTTGTGTATGTTGAAACATCCTTGCACTCTTGGAATAAAGCCTACTTGGTGGTGATATATAATCTTTTTTTTGGGGGGGAGAGGTTTTTGCTATAGGGTATGTACATTTGCCAGAAAGAGAGACAGACAGAGAGATGGACATCTCTGCATAACAAACTACCCCAATATTTAGCAGCTTAAAACAAGGCAAACTTATTGTCTCACAGTTTCTGTGGGTCAGTAATCCAGACATGACTGAGATGGGTGCTCCAGTTCAGCACCTCAGGTTCTCTCATTCACAATGCTACAATCATCTCTTGGTTCCACTGGGTAGGATCTACTTCCTAGCTCACTCACCTGAATGTTGGCAGGATTCAGTTCTCACATGCTGTTAGCCAGACGCCTCCCTCAATTCTTTACAACATGGCCCTCTCCACAGAGAATCTCACAGCATGGCAGTTTGCTTCATCAGAGTGAGCAACCCAGAGGACAGGAGAATGTCAGCAAATGAGTATAACCAATAGTCATAGTCTTCTAGAACCTAATCCTGAAAGTGATACCCCCTAACTTTTGCTATATTTTATTGAGTAGAAAGAAGTTACTAGGTCCAGCCTATACCCAAGGGAAGGAGCTCACATAAGGGTGGGATTTGCCACTATAATTGGGGGCCATATCAGAAGCCACTGGGTTGCTGGAAGAGTCATGATGTATTTTTCTGGTTTTCTATGCAAAAATACATCAAGACTTTTCTGATGACCCAATATATACCACAAATGCTGAGTAGACTGGTTGGTTTGAGTAGGGCAAATGAAATGCATGCACGATGAAGTTGGGAAGTAGACTGGGGCCAAACCATGGAGGCTCTTGAAATGTCTTAAGTTGTCTGGACTTGGTTCTGACCCTTGCTGCCACTCAAGGTGTGGCTCATGGCTCAGCAGCATTCATACTGTCTGGATACTTGCTAAAAACAGGATCTTGGGTCCTGCCATAGATCCACTGGTTCAGAATCTGTATTTTAACAAGATCATCTATATGAAGGAGTCTTCAAAAAGACCACAGAAAATATGTATTATGAAAAAATTGTGCATGGATTTCAAAATGTTTTCCAACTAAATAAACTCAACCTATAATTACATTTTTCCATGAATTTTTTGAAGTCCCACAGTACATTAAGGTTTAAGTAGTGCTGTTCTAGATGCTGAGGAGAAAACAGCTTGGTGAAAAGATTAAACATCAAGAGTAAAGGAGGAGAAGGAATGAATCAAAGATGAAGAATTTTCTTGAGGATACAGATAGAATTTGGTCTGATCACGGCATTAGAGCTACGGAAGAATATGGTTCACTCTTCATCTCGGTGGTTCACCACACTTATTCCACAGGACAGGCATCTGAGAAGCTTTTCAAAGGCATTGCTCAGCTCTTGGAGAAATGGCTATTTCTAGGGCTGAGACATCATGTAGTGCCAGAAAGTAAAGATGCACTGGAAATACAAAAAAATGAGGGTGAGTCAAAGGGATACTCAGGCCAAGCTTTAAGAGTTCCCAGGGACAGCAGATGGCATAGTGGTTACTCACTGGATTCCCACATGGCTAACCGAGGTCTGAGCCTAGGACCTGGTGACTTGAAAATCATACCAGGCGCATGTGCATGTGTGCACAAGAGGAGAATGGAGAAGGGATTGCAGCGTGGTATCGACCCTGGGGGGAGATTTCTCACTTTTCCTTCCACTGTCTGTGTTTGTCTCTCTTTCTGGCGAGTGTACATGTCCTATAACAAAAACCTCTTTAAAAAATTTCGCAATGTCCAAAGCTGAAAAAATCCGAGCAACAAAGGTATCAATCCTGGGTTATAACCCAAAGTATAAAAGAACCAGAATCTGTATTAATATAATTGGATATATAAGTAAATGGGGAAGATAAACAAGTTTTCCATATGGAATTCCCAATATATGTAGATATTTTACCCATCAGGAAGTGAAGCCTAATTTTCATGTTCCCCCTTGAGTGTGGGCAGAACTCTGATCTGCTTCTGAAGAACAGAGTATGAAAAGGGAGAAATATTGGGTCATCAGAAAAGTCATGACATTTTTCTGTTTTTCTATGCAAAAACAACTTTTCTGATGACCCAATAGTAACTTCATGATGAAGGCTAGCAAACATTGCCTTAACCAATTATCAATTACCATGATTTACCTAACAGTGGTGCAGCAGTAAAACATGATGCTCCCTGATGCTGGCCCATGCAGGAAGGTTCCAGGTTCATCTGGAGACCTCCCTGAACACACCAGGTACTGGCATGCCCATGAAACACGGCTGGCTAAAGCTTGGGGTTTACTGAGGCATCAGGATCCTGTTGGAGGTGCTATGTTCCAGTTTTTTTCTCTTACTTAACAAGTACAACAAATATTAAGCCCTGTTGATAGGATGTATCTTTCAGGATGATGCCATGAGAATGGTACTTTACCTTTGTGGTAATCCTCCCCAAATGCCTAAATCCCAGACTAACCATGAGAAAAACATCAAGGTTGACTGATGGATGAAATTACACAAAATACCTGATGGATTCTCTATTGGTGAAGATCATGTAGAACAAGGAAAGAATGAAAAACTCACAGACTAAAGGATGCAAAGAGACATGATGATCAAAAGCATGAGATCCTTGATTGGATTCTGGAATATAAAAAGGATGTTAGTGGAAAAACTAGAGGAAATGAAGTCATTTCAGTAGTTAGGTTAGCAGTAATACATTGATGATAATTTTGAAGCTTTGGCAAATGTACCATAGTGATGAGAGACACTACCGTTATGGCAAATTGAGTGAAAGACAGACAGGAACCCTCTGTACTATCTTCACAACTTTTCTGTAACTAAGAAGTTATTCCAATATAAAATGTTTATTACAAAACAATAAATGGCCAGGCCTCACCTCTGAGATTCTAATTTGTCTGGATGAGGGGTGGAATTGTTAGGCATAAATATTTTCTCAAAGTTCCCTCAGATGATTCAGATGTTCAGAGTAGAAAAACACTAAACTTTATACCAGTGGTATACTTGAATGCCCATCAGAAACCTCTGGCAGACTTGTTAAAACACAAATTTCTGGGTTCCAACCCCAGAATTTCTTACTTAGCATGTCTGAGAACTTGCACCACCTCTTTTTTGTTTTTGGAGAGATTTTTTTTGGTATAGGGTGTACATGCTTACCAGACACACACACCAAGGGGGGGAGGGTCACCCCCAGGGGAGATGGTCATGCTGCAATCCCTTTTCTGTTAACCACCAGATGACCTCAAAATGACCCTTATTTCCAAAAAAACCCAAAATTTCCCTAAAAAAGCAGTGTTAGGGCCCAGGTGGTGTGGTAGTTAAGGTGCTGGACTCCCACATGGCCAACCAGGGTTCAAGTCCTGGGCCTAGCAGCTTGAAACTCATGCCAGGTGCATGTGCATGCCTGCTCCAAATCCGAGGAGGAGAATGGAGAAGGGATTGTTGTGTGGCCATTCCCCCTGGAGGGTGATGTCTCACTTTCCCTCTCACTGCTTCTCTCTCTCTCTGGTAAGTGCATGTACCCCATGGCAAGTAAATAAAATAAAATAAAATAAAATATCAAACAAAACAAAACCCCAAGACAGTCATGATCATTAGAGAGAAGGAATTCATTTGAAAAATTGATTAAAAAAAAAAGGTATGGAACCCTCTTCTTAAAAATACATCAACAAATTTTGGCAACAATTTTGATCCTTAAACTCCAGGTTAGAAGCTTCTGGTAGGTGCCAAGGCTGCTGTATGGCAGCTACGTGAGCAACATTGAGGTACATGGAGAGGCGGGAGATGGTGGGGACAGTCCAAGACCAGAGGAACCAGCAGAACCATGATGTACAGCCTCAGATTGTTTCAAATGGGCCTCCAAAACACAGCTACTGCATGGACGTCTGGCTCTTCATCATTTTCCACATGCTATTGTTTTTATTCGTTTACCTTTTGCCCAGGTGAGAATCCCAAATGCAGCTGAAGTGATGAGTTTGCTGATATCTAAATAAGTTGACTTCTAGAGTGAAATCTCAAAATGACTACAGACTTCTGGAATAAAGAAGACAAAATTGTGCAGAGCAGAATTTCAAACCTCCTAAGGGAATTTCATTTAAATATTATTTGGAAAACTCATAAAGTGGTTATTACCTCACCCAAACTAATGGGTGACTAGACTCTTAGATTCTTGTTTAAAGCTTTATCAGATATCTGATTCAGGGGCTAAATAGTAAATTATTTGTACTTAAAGTTTTAGTGTATTCATTAAATATAGAGATGGCTTTAACATTTTAAGGGTTGATCAGTTTTAGTATGATGCAAATAACATGGTTAGTAGTAAGATATTTGTAATTCAGTAGCAGACTAAAAGCAAGGGGACGGTTTTTGATAAAAGGAACAAAATAGTCTTAGATTGCATAGAGATTATGAACAATACAAAAGATATATAGAAAATGTAATCCTACAATATATTTGTTCTGAATACCAAGATGTTACAGTTGTCAGATTCATAGTCTTAGAGAACGGAGATAATATCCAGTACTAGAAAACTATTACACATGTCCTATTACCTGAGTGCCTTTTCCACCACCTTTTTAAACTCTTCACAAGAGCTTTCTAAAGTAGGATTATGTGTTTCAAACCTATATTGTTATTACTATTGCATAAAATATACTCATGGTCAAAAAAGCAATTTATTTGTATGATGTCCATAACTTAATATGTCAGCAAGGTCAGTGTGCTATTCACTTAGCCAGATATGTGACCCCTCACTAGTGGTCAGACATTATTTTAGACACAGTGGTGGAAAAAGATGGTAAAAGTTCTTGCCTTCATGGCGCTTACATTCCAAATCATTTGTTTTTAAAACCTGAGTATATTTAACAAGAAATTACATTCTAGGGTTGACCTGCTAGCATTTCATCAAAAAGGCCATATAAGCACTTCAGAAGCAATGCCTGCTAGTCCTGCTGGCTTTATGTAACAGATGTATATATATATATATATATATATACATGTAAAGCTTGTTACAGGGGCCTGAGTTAGCCAGACTTTATTAATCAACTTTCTTTTCTTCTTCTCCTTAACTTGATTGTACTCTGCTTGAGATCTTGCTTAGGAGTTCCAGAGAGATGGTCAACACAGGCAGTGAAGCTCAAAACAATGAGGAATGTTCTATCCAGTGAACCAAGACTACTGTTTGAAGTGTATACACCCTTCCCACTAAAAATTAACTTAACCTATTTTTTTTTTTGTTTTTTGGAGAGGTTTTTCGCTACAGGGCGCATGCGCTCGCCAGACAGACAGAGACATAGAGACAGAAAGCAAGAAATCACCCCCCAGGGGGATGGTCACGCCACAATCCCTTCTCCTCCATTCTCCTCTCAGGATCTTGGGCACGCACGCACACGCACCCGGCATGAGTTTTAAGCCACCGGGTCCGGGATGCGAACCACGGTAGGCTACGTGGGAGTCCAGTGACATAGCCATTATGCTAACTGCTAGTTCCCAACCTATTCTTTCTTGTACATTGCCACTAGCCCCCAGCCTCTTTTGCTTCTTTCTTCCCTATAAAAGCATCTGTAAATTGGCTGATTACTTGAAGAAGATATTTTTATATGTCTTCCCAATGTGGGCACACTGTAATAAATTTTCCTTTCCTCTCTCACCAGAAAAAAAAATAAATAAAAAAGAAAAGAAAAGAAAAAAAAGAAAGAACAAAAAAGAAACTTCTGACCTAAGAAAACAAAGACTTATCACACAGGACCAGCAGTTGGCATAATGGCTATGTCACTGACTCCCATGTAGTTGCCGGCTGTTCGAGTCCTGGACCCGGTGGCTTAAACTCACACCAGGCGCGTGTGCGTGCATGCCCAAGGTCCCCAGAGGAGAATGGAGAAGGGACTACAGCATGGCCATCCCCCCGGGGGATGATTTCTCACTTTATATCTCTGTTTCTTGCGTGAGCACATGTACCCCATAGCAAAAACCTCTCCCCACCCAAAAACATAAAAGACTTACCACTACTGGGACCAGCAGATAGCATAATGGATATGTCGCTGGACTCCCATGTAGTCAACCACAGTTCGAGTCCTGAACCCAGTGGATTAAACGCACACCGGGCACAGGTGCATGCATGCCCAAGATCCCAAGAGAATGGAGGAGAAAGGATTGCAGCGTGGCCATATCCCCGCCCCCCCGGGGGGTTAATTTCTTTCTGTCTCTCTGTCTCTTTCTGGTGAGCCCACGTGCCCTATAGTGAAAACCTCTCCCCCTCCAAAAAAAATTTACCACTATCAAAAAATTCAAATAGGAGATTCAGAAGAAAGCTTTTGGAACCAACTACTCCGAAGAGAGAAAATGAATAATTGGAAAAACATAGATTTGCAGAGTGAATAAAGCACCTCAAGATTTTTATTTTGATTTGTTCATGTCACTAACCAGTTTTTAACAAATATTTGTCCAAACCTAGGGTGAATTTCTTCCTTTGCAAAATAAAGAGATAAAAAAAAAAGGGGGGGCTAGAGCTGTATCAATAGTTCTGAATGTGTTCCTTGGATAAGTAGTGTCACTATCACACAGAAACTCCTTTAATAAATGTAAATTCTCACACCCCACCCAGGCCCTACTGAATCAGAAACTCTGGAGATGGGGCGTTGAAATGACAGTGTTTCAACAAACCCTCCTGAGGGTTCTCCTGTACTGCTCAAGTTTGAAAACCAGCAAGCTTGGGACCAGCAAATGGCAATGGTTAAGCTGCTAGACAGCTACATAGCTGACTGCAGTTCAAGTCCTGGACCCTGTGGCTTAAAACTCACACCGGGCACATGAGTGTATGCCCAAGATCCTGAGAGGAAAATGGAGAAGAGATTGCGGTGTGGCCATCCCCCTCTGGGGGGTGATTTTTCTCTGTCTCTCTATCTCTCTTTCTGTCTCTGTCTCTCTGGCGAGTGCACACACTCCATAGCAAAAATATCTCAAAAAAAAAAAAATAGAAAGAAAGAAAACCAGCAAGCTTGATGATTTCCAAAGTCTCTGTAACCTTTCAAATTTTACAACTTAATTGGAAAGCATAAACTTTGGTAAGGTAAAATACAAAACAAAAACCAATATTCTTACATCTTTTTTTTTTTTTGTAAAAAAGGGAGATTTCTTAATTCCTAAAGAATAATAGGATAAGAATCTCTATTTTGGGGCCATATGGTGGCACAGGTGTAAAATGAGGCACTGTGAGGCCAATCCCTGTGGGAAAATCCCAAGTTCAAGTCTGGGGACCTTTCTGAGTACATGGGGAAAGTGTTTGTCTCTGATCCAGGGCTGGCTTGAAGGCTGGGGTTAGACTGCAACATTGAGAACTTGCTGGGTGTGTGTTCTCTCTCTCTCTCTCTCTTTCTCTCTCTCTCACCTCATGGAAAAAATAAAACTCCTATACAAAAAGAATCTCTACTTTTTCTCTTATATTCCTTAAAGCAGTTTTTTTTTTTTCAATGAGAAAGAAAGCAGGAAAGAAGGGGAAGAAAGTTAATTTTGGCAGGGTCTTATAATTGAGATTCTCTGCCCCAGACTTCCAGATAGCTAGGATTATAGGTATGTACTACTATGCCCAGCTGTTCAGGTTGGCTGGAGATCTGAACCTGGGTCTTCCATGTAGCTCCAACCTTGCACAGCAGTGCCTATGTTTGTCCCTACTGCACCTGGGCTATTCTTGCACAATTCCTTATAAATCCTAGGCACTCAAATCTGTACTAGTGGGCCAATTTTGGCTAAAACAAGAAAATTTCTAGGCTCAGAGATAGGTGGGACAGAAAATACCTTATCTTGAACTGTTAACTTTCCCTTCCTCTTGTCTGCTACCCACAGTATTCCATGGCTTTAATAACAAAGTAGTAAGGAAAACAACTGGAATTTGCCTTTTATCTAAATGTAGTAGGCATCTCAGTTGCAATAAAAATGTTCTCAAGAGACCAATAAGACTTACCAAGCAGCCAGGCTCAATGGTGCATGGATGGCTGTCATCTCAGCTACTCAGGAGACTGAGGTAGGTGGTAGGAGTGCTGGATCCAGTAGCTTGAAACTCAGGCCAGTCGCCTGTACATACATATCCAAATCCCAAGACAATGGAGGAGAAGCAATTGTGGCATGGCCATCCTCCCTGGGCAGAGATTTATCTCTCTCTCTCTACCTCTTCAGTGAGTACACAAGCTCTATAGCAAAAATCTCTAAAAAAAAAAATGTGTTTGAGACCAGCCTTGACATTGCAGTGAGACTCTGTCCCTAAGAAATTAAAACAAGCAAACAAACAAAAACTCAAAACACCCAAAACAAACTATTCGAACATGGTGCTAACAAAATGCAGAATGATTTTGAAATTAATCAAGCTAATGGTTATGATTTTGACTTCAAATATATAAACCAGATATTTGGTATTAAAAAACTATTTTATGGAGGTATGATAATGGTATTGCAGTTACTTAAAAAACAAGAGTATATTTATCTTTTAAAAATTACATACTGAAATACTAAAAAATGAAATATTTACCTGGTGTTAGCTTCAGTATCATCAGGAATCGAGGCAAGTTGAATGAGTGGGTAGGAGTTAAAAAAAAAACAAAAACAAAAAACAAGATTAGCTTTGAAAGAAGAGTTGAAATAGATATGGGTATATGTATATGGGGTTTTATTTTACTTGAAATTGTTTATAATACAAAGTTGAAAATACATAAATCCAGTTGTCTGCTATTTTTTAGAAGGGGAAAATAGCATATGGATGTTGGTGACCAAATGAATGAACAGGATTTTTAAATTTTTTTTGCCAAAAAGTATATGCACTTGTGAGAGAGAGAGAGAGAGATTGACTGGCTGACTGAGATGGGGATAGCACCCCCCAGTACAACATAGTCACACTGCAATACACAGTCCTCCAGCTCTCCACTCCACTGGGATTTTGGGCACACATGCACATGCGCCCAGCATTGTTTTTCAAGTCATCAGGGCAGACAACACTGAAA